CGTTACACAAATATCTCTGGAGGATATTAAACAAAAGCTACTGAAATCAGACATTTTAAAATTAGCAGGTCCAGATAATTGCATAAGAGTTTTAAAAGACTGGACTCAGGATTTTGTTGGACAATAAACATTGATTTTCAATAAATTTCAATAATTTTTGGAGCACTGGGGATGTTCTAGAAGACTGGAAGAAAGCTAATGTGCACATTTTTAAAGTGGATACATAGGATTTCCTGGGTAATTATAGGTTTGTAAGCCTGGTATTAATTCCAGGCAGGAGCAACTGATATGGGACTCAATAACGAATTAAAGGAGGCTAACATCATTAATGCAAATCCAAATGGCTTTTCAGAAAATAGTTCCTGTCAAAATAACTTGATACCTTTTTGTGATGAGATTACAAGAGTGGTTGATAAAAGAAATAGTGATGACATAATATAATTAGACTTCAGAATGGCATTTGCATTAGTATCAAGCAACAATCTGGTGGAAAAAATGGAATTATATAAAATTAACAAGGTACACATTAAATGGTTTAAAAACTAACTAGTTGTTCTCAAAATTAGCTGTAAACACAGAAAAATCAAATGGATGTATTCTAGTGGAGTTATGCAGAGATGAGTTCTTGGCCCTATGATATTTAACATTTTTATCAATGATCTTGAAGAAAACATAAAATCATCACTGATAAAGTTTGAAAATGACAAAAAAAATTGGGGGAATGGTAAATAATTAAGATGACGGGTCACTTGATAAACTCGACACAAGGAAACAATATTCACTTTAATCCAGCCAAAAGTAAATACATTCATCTAGGAACAAAGAATGTAGGCCATACTTAGAAGATGGGGGATTCTATACTGGGAAGCAGTGACTGAAAAAGATTTAGAGGTCATAATGAGTAATCAACTGAGCATGAGCTCCCAATATATCAATGTGGCCCAAATAGTTAATGAGATCTGGAACAGCATTAATGGGCATCTCAAGTATGAATAAAGATGTTATTTTACTTCTGTAGGTGACTGTGGTGTGACCACTGCTGGAATGTGTGTCCAGTCCTGCTGCTCACATTCCAAAGATGATGATAAATTGGAGAGGGTTCAGAGAAGAGAGTCACAAGAATGATTAAAGGATTAGAAAACCTGCCTTATAGCTATATCTCAAAGAACTCCTATGGCACCGATGCTAGCGTTGTTCCGGCGTCAGGCTAAAACCACCCTTTTTACTCATGCTTTTATTAATGTTTGAGTCTGTATGTGTGTGTTCCTTTTCTCTATATGTTTTTAGCTGGTTATGTCCCTCTGAGGTCTTATATTTTCAATTATCATATTTTAAATTTTTATATATATTTGTATTTTTTGTTTGTTTGTTCTTGTAAGCCGCCTTGAATATTTTAAATAGAAAGGCGGGGTAAAATATTTAAATAAATAAATAAATAAACTCAACCTACATAGCTTAAAAAAGCAAGGATAAGCAGTCATTTGATTACAGACTCAATGTACCTACATGGGAACAAATATTTAATAATGAGTTCTTCAACATAGCATACAAAAGTATAATATGATCCAATGGCTGGAAGCTAGAGTAATTCAGACTGGTAATAAGTGTACATTTTTATGGTGACTGTAATTAACCACCAGAACATTTTACTAAGGGCCACAGTAGATTCACCATCACTGAACATTTTTCTATGCTCTAGAGAAGGGGTGAGGAACCTTTTTTGGGGTCAGGAGGCTGCAGACCCACTGAAAAAATCAGTCAGGGGCCACACACAAGCGAAAAGTAAAAAAACCCCAAACACTGATGTGGCCTCCTTGCACATCATAGCCCTTAGTCAGGGGAGGAGCCCTGAGCCTCAAGGGCCAGATCCAGGCAGCTGGGGGCTGCACCCTTGCTCTAAGGATTATTTTGGGGAAGTTCTATATCCTGTGTTCTACCAGAGGTCCACACCTTTAATCCTGGCTACAAATGTTTGTTCTATAATTTACGCTGATCTCCAGGGTCAAGTCTAGTTTAGAAAACATCCTTTAGATCTTTAAAAGCAAAGGTTCCGATTGTAAATCCTTACACAGTGGCTAAAAAAACCCCTAAAGGTTTTATGCTTACGGGAGAAGATAAGGTTAATTATGAAACCCCATTGTATCTCATATCCCTTTTTTTCCTCTCAATGTCTTAGCTAGTTGGCTCACTTCTCTACACAATCTCAGTGTAATAGGTGATAAATACTGAAATATCTGGGTTTCATGGCTTTCTAGCCCTTTTTCATCAGGACCTTTTTGGTTGATACTAATATATAATTATATAAATTATGTCACTGGAGAGCAAGAGGGTTCAGAGGGATCTATCTACTAGCACTTCTACAATGCTGCCCATAGTAGAAAAAGCCCCCAGCAACGACATTCTGCACGAGAGAGCTTACCTTTCTCCAAGTTGTCACAAATGCCTTTTACTCTGACATGGTTTCTTCTTTCATGGTTTTCTATATCAGATGTTCTCAAACTATGGACAAATTTTTGGTGATCCGCCAAGTGGTTGCCTAAAAAGAAACCACACAAATCTCTTAAGTACTGTGCTCACTGTAACTATATCATAAGAATATGTGCAAATCAGCCGCCTAATGTCCTTTTCTGTGAAATAAAGAAAACCTTAAATACTGTGACAAGCCCTTGGACTTTTATTAATTTTGCTTACTAAGGAGCTTCTGAGTGATTGTGCCACTAGTGTTGCATATGTGCTGCACTGTGGCTCTAGCACTCCCAGAGGGTCTCTGAACAGTTATGCCAGCCATTCCCAACAGCTGGTTCGCAAACCACTGGCTGTTGGGCTGTGGCGGCTCTGGGAGCTGGGATATGCCACCCAGCACCTCTCCTTCCGCTACAGCTGTTGGGAGAGGCATGTCCTGTGCCGCCTCTCAACAAATCAGCACCAGGCAGGGGTGGGGTCTACTCCCGAACGTGGGAGAGCAGTTCACTGCACAGCGGGAGGGCTGCACGGAGCCTGACATAGCAGCCTTAGAGCAGCCGTAACCTGGGCAGCAGCACTCAGCTGGCGGCTAGAAGGCAGAGCAGGGCTAGGTGAGTGGGGCAGGGCAGGGCAGGCACTGGAGGTGGGGGTTCAGGGGCAGGGCTAGTGCTGGGGAGCTCTGGCACTGGGGTGCTTTGGAGGCAAAGCTAATGCTGAGGTGCTCTGGGGTTGGGGCTAGTACTAGGAAGTTCTATGGGGTCGGGAGGCTCTAAGAGGTGGAGGCCTAACACTGGGGGGGGGCTCTAGGGTGGGGAGCTGATACGGGGGAGTTATAGGGGCAGGGATGGTGGGGGGATCACAGGAGCAGGGCTGGCCCTGGGGGGCTCTGGGGATGGGATAATATTGGGGACTGGAGGCTGGCACTGGGGAGGGACCCTGGGGGGATGGGGTGCAGTGGAGCTCTGGAAACAGGAGGCTGGCAGTGAGGGATCTGGTGGTGGTGGGCTCTAAGGGGCGGGGGGCTGACACGGAGGCATTTGGGATGGGGGGACGGTCTTAGGGGCTCTGAGGGTGGTAGGCTGGCACTGGGGGGTTGGGTGCAGAGGACTCTGTGGTTAGTGGCTGGCACTGGTGGGGGTAGTGGAGGGGTGGGAGGCTCTAGGGATGAGGCTAGCACTGGGGGGCTCACGGGGCCAGGGTATAACCCAGCCCCGCCTCCCAGAGCCACTGTAAACAGCTGGCTTCAGCTGTGGCAAGCACCTACCACAAGCCAAAGCTGAAGCCAGCTGTTCATGGCAGTTCTGGGGGCCAGGGCTTTTGGCAGACGAGTAACATCTTCTTTGCATATTCATTATTTACATAATAAATTTACATATATGTAGATAAAATGTTGCCAGTCCACCAAAAGTGTATGAATGGGTTTGCCAGTCCATGGTATACAAAAGGTTGGGAACTGAACCATTGATCTATGCCACTGGAGGAGGAAGCTTACAGTGCCACAGCACCACTGATGTAGCCATAGGGCCTTAATTCTCAAGTTCAGAGTAGAACTGCATTGAACTTGTGTTTCTGTAGCACAGAAACATCAAGTCCAGGATTGTGACACAGCTCCAGGATTTTGTAGGAGAAGCAGTTTGGATTAGGGAATGTTAAAATGCATTTAATTAAGTAATCATGTAACCACTGAAAATTTCACGAGCAGGCACCTTCCTGGAGCTGGTGCACGTGGGGAGACAGCTTTTAAGCATGCTCCTTGTGCATACCTGACCCCCTCCCAGCTGCATACTAACCTGCATGTAACCATGCATGTTAACCAATGAGCCCAGAAGAAACCCCTCTATATGAATGGCACTCCAAGACTTTGGGGGCTGGACTCGCTGAAGAGTTAAGGAGCTCCCAATCTCCATCTGTTAGAATATTTTTAAATTTCCAGAAAAGACACAAGCCTTCTTGTTTTTCTCTTGTGCACAAAACCAGTATCATCAGGGCTTCTAACACTTTGTTTTCTTGACTGTGATGATCCACTCACCTTCCTCAGTAATAGTGCCACTGCTAGAGCCACCATTGCTCTTGGCTGGTCTGTGAGAGGAAGAGAGAGAGGACTCTGCATTGTGAACCTTAGGGGATGGGGATGGAGATGGGGATGGTGTGAGAGTTGGCGATGTGCTCTTAGATGTAGATGAGGTCCCAGATGGAGGTCTTTTGTTCATATCTAGTTTCTGCTATAGTTAACAAAAACAGAGAAATGTTTTTATTCACAAAAACTACCATACCATTAATCATTATAAATAAGACCCCATTTCAGTAAAGCAGTTAAACAAATCCTTAAGGTTGTAATTATATCCCATGGAAGCCAACTGAGCAATGCTGGTTCATACCAACTGAAAATCTCACCTCAAAAGGAAAGGATATTTGTTAATCACTCAGGTCTGGAATAAAGCGATAATCCACCACCATCCACCCACACCCACACCCACTCTCAGCCCCACCCCCCACACACTCCAAACAAAAATGGATGCAAATGTTCATTCCAATAATTGTTGATAGAGGATATTATTATTATCTTAACTTTGGATACAAGTTTTTCATTCACAAATTTAACTAAAACTCTACGGATTTAAAACCATAATTTAGGCCCTTCCCCTGCAGTTTAGACCTGGCTTAAGTGCTTACAAATCAATTTCTTTATGAAGCTAAAGCTGAAAGTTATATCATTCTGCTTCTCCAGAAAGAAATGTTTGGATTATCTCTTGCATATTATACCAGCTTTGTACCTCTGGATCCAGTTCAGGAGAGCACTCACATATGTTCCTAAATCCCACTGGCTTCAAATTTGAAGTTAAGCATATGCTCACATATTTTGCCAAACTGGAGCCTGAATTCTTAGAAAGGACATTCATTTCATTACAGCTGCATAACCCATCTCATGTAATTGACTTTCTTAAAGAGAAAGGACATCAGCACTGCTATTTATATATCTTTAAATTTCCATGAAAATGCTGCCTCCTAACCCCCTTCCACGCATCTTCACATCTGATTATGAAAACTTTAAAATTTTGTTCCAAAGAATTAGCTACTCAGCAGTGTCAGATTCAGGTGGCTTTGCTCACTAAGCAGTCACATGTTAGTTTGAAAGAATTATTTTCAGGAAATCTATTAAAGTCTAGACCGTGTTTACATTTATTTAAAATAAACCAAGCAGAAAATAAATAAAAACAAAACTTCACTTTGTTCTTGCCTGGCCATGCACAGATTTGTTACTAAGAGAAAGTTTTTGGGAGCTGATATGTTCCTACCAGTGTATCAGACATTCATACATTTTAATCACTTCTATGTTGTGTAACTGTGTTACCTACCATGCATGACTTAGGTATGTTTCATTACCTGATTTTGTTGAGTATTAGCTATTTTGGCAATAGGAAAATTAAACTCAGGTGCACATATACCTTTGCTATATGTCCATTGCTAGCTATCTGTACATGCTGCTGCAGTTCAGGAAGAGTAGATGAAGCAACTGTGTGGACTGAACTACAATGCTGGCTGGGTTTCTGTTCAGGTAAACCTGCTGCTTTTTTCCTTTGGGCTGCAATTTGAGACAAAACACTATCTGCACTGCCACCTGAGGAGGAACCATAAATGTTAAAAAAGTTAGATCTAAACAAGCAACATATTAAATAAATTGATAGAATGTTAAAACAATAGATTAACCTGGCACAGCTGCCTCCGCAGACAGAGGTTGCTCCGGCATCAGTCCCTGTCTACAGGGGGGGAGGGTTCGAGCTTGGGGAGTCTGCAGGCTGAGGCTGCTGCCGGGCTCCAGATAATGAAAATGAATATGCATTGGCCTGCACTGCTTTAGATCATTATCAACAGAACCCATCATCAACATAGACATATGTTCTCTAGAATGGTGGTTGAAGAAGCATGAGGGACGTATGAATCTTTAGCACATATGGCAGGCACATCAATATTTTTGTAATTCTGTCTACAACTCGGCCACACAAATGCCTGTTTTCACTTTCAGGTGATACTGTAAATTGTAATTCTGTCTACAACACGGCCACACAAATGCCTGTTTTCACTTTCAGGGGATACTGTAAACAAGAAGCAGGCAACATTATTTCCTGCAAATATAAACAAACTTGTTTGTCTTAGTGAACAAGAAGTAGTACTCAGTGGACTCGTAAGCTCTTAAGTTTTACACTATTTTATTTCTGAATGCAGGATTTTTTGGACATAATTCTACATTTTTAAGTTCAAATTTTCATAATAAAGATATTGCACTACAGTACTTGTATTCGGTAAGCTGAAAAATACAATTTCTTTTATTTTTTACAGTGTAAATATTTCTAACAAAAATAAACAAAGTGAGCACTATACACTTTACATTGTGTGTTATAACTGAAATCAATATACTTTGAAATGTAGACGACATCCAAAATATTTAAATAAAGGGTATTTTATTATTTTTTAAAAGTGCAATTAATCATGATTAATTTTAATCACACAATGGTGATTGATTTTTAATCGCTTGACAGCCCTAACATTTTTTGCATGTTAAATTTACCACAATTTATTTATGAAATATGTATGTACCTCCACACATTTAACCCGTACTTACAAAATAAATATTTTTCAAAAATATTTATGAAAGTCTCTATCATAATATATGCAAAAATGGAATACAGCAGGCAAGAATTCTCGATAGGTTTTATGCCTGGAATGTCTTGCTTGGATCTGGATAGCATGCATGTTTGTAGTTTGATTTTTGTTTCTTTTAATTAAAACATCAAAACTTTTCAGCCAAAAAAATAAGCGATAAATGAAAAAAAGACTAATGTGCATGAAAAAATATTAAGATAAAAACTTGTCCTTTAGGACAACATACCTACTCTGTAATTTTAACTGTATGGATATACCCCAATTAAAGTCACTGAGGTTGCTCAGCTATAGGTCAGCTTTGGTTCCAAATGTACGATAGGGCCCTTAGTCTCTCATTGTGACTGTCTGTGGTTCCTGTTCAACCACGGTAATGGGAATTTTGCAGGCACTAGTATAACTTCTACCTTACCTATGAACTCAGATTACCTTGCTGAATATGTCTTAATGATTTTTTATATCTGAAATAAAAAATATAAACCTGATCTATTATGGAGTTCTCCACCAAGTCTGTTGATTCCAGCTATGTTGTTAGATCCACCAGAAGAATGCGGTGAGTGATTGAAGTTATTTGAATTTGAGGGAGAAGCAGGTCTTCTTGCAAAGCCTGGCAATTTGACCAGCCTAGTACCTTTGGTAACAGATGTCTAAAAGAGCAAGAAATAGCAGATAATGCTTTAAACACAATTGTACTTGCCATAAAAGTCAGTGACTTTCTCTGAGGATCAAAATGGAGATAAAAAGTGAAAATGATTATTCTCTTGGACATTACAAAATCATAATTCAAGTAGGAATAAAGTAGTAATTTAAAAATAGTCCTCTTCTTTTGGTTTTTGTCTAAAAATGCCATCATTAGAACACAAGCAATATGAAGTCTCAAGATCACAACATATGCTTAGTTCTCCAAAACTTCATACTTTTAAGTAACTGATTTGCTTCTTTCAGTTCAGTTCTTTTCCCCTTCCTTCCTTCCTGAACTTACTTCCAACTCAAGTAGCCCCTATTCTGATACGCACGAGCTTACTTTGGGGACTAAACCATATCATTTGGAATCTATGAACTCCGCAGCAGTTTGTAAGACATCCATCTCAGTGCTTAGGAGCTTATTGTGTAAAAAAACAAAAAAAAAGTGTGGCATGCAAGCTCTTACTTTCCTTACGTTTCTCTTCTTAAGGAAGGGTATTTTTCCTGAGAAGCGAAGTTTAGAGGGGCAAATCAGTCTAAAGATTTGGACATTTAAATTAAAAAAAACCTTACAGTGGAAAATATATGATTCTACAAGATGTACTCATGGCTACACCTTGCAAAAATCCAAGAGGACCATAAATCTGACAGACAGCTATCAACCTATTGTGTCTTATCAACCAAATTTCCTGGAGAGAACAACGGACAATATTTGTTGTACAATGCATTCACTTACTACGTCAGAGTTTGCACTGCTGTTAAAATCATGTTTGATCCCTCGCTGTGGCAAGGCAGTCCTCATCTGTTCAGTCTTGCCATCTTTGTTCATTCGTGTTCGGTCAGAATTCCACAGCTCAAAACTTGAAGGAGGTAAGAAAGGAGGAATAACTGCCTTCAGTTTATCACTAGGTAGTCTAGTAAATGGAGCACCACTTCTTAACTGAGAAGAAAAAAAAATGACCTCTATTTAGAAAGATATATTTGACTCCAAATATATGCATTTGAAAGAGGAAATGAAGCTATGTAGAGAATGGAAGACTTTTAATATATCAAAATAAAAGAATGGTGGGGGAGTATAAAGATTTTTAAATAAGCAAAAAACAATTTTGTCAAGACATAAACATCTCTGAACATATATAATTCAGAACAATAGGTAGAAGCAGCGGAAATGATGTGGTGACCATAAACCTTGCATATGTGTATCTTGGCACTCTTAAGAAAACAATGAGGAGTTCTGTGGCACCTTAAAAACTAACAGATTTATACCCAAACAGACTTATTTGGGCATAAGCTTTTGCATGCGTTTGACAAAGTGGTTTTTACCCAAGAAAGCTTATGCCCAAATAAATCTGCTAGTCTTTAAGTTACCACAGGAGTCCTCATTATTTTTGCAGATACAGACTAACACGGCTACCTCCCTGACACTTGTCTCCCTTAAGTGGTGAAAGTTGCCCTGTCAAATATATCTATTTTCTTCCTTTCTTTGGGCCTAATCCCGGCTCTCAATGAGGTCAACAGGAGTGTTAATTTAGTTGCTTCTGAATAGAATAAAAACTCTGTGGGTTCCCAGATGAGACCCCTGGGAAGGAGTGAACAATTGCATACTGTGTCCCTTTGGGATCTCCTGGAAAAGAAGAAGAAGAAAAACTGAAGTCCTTCTCTACCCCAGTTCCCTCAGTCAATAATTGTTTTTCTTATGAAATAAATGGCTCTTTAAGATCTAATGAAATCAGCATAGGTATTTTAACCTTTTACAATTGGGCACAAAGAGGTTATCAACTGAAGAGAATGCAGTTACAACTGTAGGTTGTGGCAGAATCTGAAGCCAGACTAGAACAAAGGAGAGGAGAAATATGTATGATGCTGAAAAGTGGAGGTTTTGAGATAGCTCAAATATTGCTGAAAATGTAAGCACCAAGAGAAGCTCTGTTCATTGTGAATTTTACTAGCTTATTTTTTTATCTAACAGAGCATATTTAGTCACGTAAATGGTTATGAAATAAGTCTGAATTACATCCTCTACATCTCTGTGCCAAGACATCTCTTACCACATTCAAATTCTTGCTTACAACAAAATATTTCATATGGCTCTTCAACAGTAAATCAACTATTCAAGTGATCTCTTTTTAAGTTATTGTTGATCATAAGAAGTATTTGCTATAAATTGACAGTATTTGCTATAAAAGTCAATATTTACCAAGAGTTACCAATCCACACTAACTGCTATATTGGAGTTATTTCCTGTTATAACTAACGAGAAAAGTTACAGCACCTTGGATACAACAATCTAGTGGTCATCAGCAAATGCTATTTATTTTACTAATGATGACCACTGTATCATTTGTATGATGATATGAGTGAACTGTACTGAATGTTTAATTTGGATTGTAAATATGATTGAATGGGAGCTGCACTAGGGTATTATTCAGTGTTGAGCAAATTGACAGCACTGTAACTTACCATGGTTGTCAATAATTCATCATCCTTTCCTGCTCTTGTGCATATACCTGAAAAATATAAATGATATTTCAAAACTTCAAATGCTTATTTCCTTAGGATAACGTTGATAAATGTTAAAAGGTTTCAGAGGGGTAGCCGAGTTTTAATAAATATGTTATATGCCACAACAGTCACCCCCAGTAAATACTATGACATTAGTTTATCCTTCATGCAACTTCATTGACTTTCCCTGTAACAACAATTTGGGCCATCATTGTTTTTATATTTTGCATCATAAAAAGCAGGACTTAAACCCACTAACCCCCTTTCTGTTCTATGACTACAGGGGTGTTAATGGGCCACTGCTGTTCCTTAGAATATGTGCTAACTACTCAACATTACCAGACTGCTGTGCTCCTTTCAGGAATCTGACTTGCCTTGCATACCTGCAAGCTTCACCTCAACTAAAAACTACTTGCTTATTTATATAATCAGACATAAAAAATACAAAATTGTCATAGCACATTATTATTGAAAAAACACTTACTTTCTCATTTTTACTGCATAATTATAAAATATATCAATAGATATAAATATTGTACTTACATTTCAGAGTATAGTATATTGAGTAATATAAACAAGTCATTGTCTATCTGAAATTTTAGTCTGCAATGATTTCATTAGTGCTTTGTATGCACACTACTGTAAAACTACGCAAATATATATATGAGTTGATGAACCCCCTGGAAGACCACTTTATAATCTCAGAAGTACACATACCTCAGGTTTAGAACCACTGTGCTAAACTAGCTGTTTGATCTTGTAGCTAGGCCTTGTCTACACTGTCATATTTTGTTGCCAAAAACTACCTTTTGGGGACAAAACAGTGAGAGTGTTTACACTATAATGTCACTTTTGTCAAGAAAAACACCTGATTTTGGCAACAAAAAACTCCCAGCCCAGAGAGAGACTTTGTCTTTTCTTCTCCCTTTATTGCTGACAAAAACCAGTGTGAACTCTGTTTGTTTTGTGGAGAGAACTGGCTTCCTCCAGTATTCCATAATGGCTGACCCGATAGCTGTGCCCAGTGTTTCATGATCTCTGCTGCCTTGCAGGCACGTACCTTTCCCCTTTCAAAGCTCTGGGAAGTATCTGACAGCTGAGTGAGCTGCTCCATTTGGGGAATAAACAAAGAGTATATGATTGGAATGTTTCTTTTCTGCTCTACTAGAAACACAGCAGCAAGCAGACTGCTACTGCTGCAGAGGGAGGGCTGGAGAGACTATTTGACATTCCTCAGCATGGAAAAATCACAGAGCTACTCATGATGCTGCTCCCAGCAGCTGAGAATGCTGTGGGAAAACGCAGAAGCAATCCCAAGAAGCACAGGAATAAACTCCACTGTCCCACAGCACTGAACTGTGTGATGTTTATCCACATTGCTTTGCTCTATCTATTGACATGGTGCTAGCAATGTGGCCATGAAATGTCAACAATGGGAGGCAGAAAAACTGATTTGACCAGTTTTCACTTGGGGAGATTTTTGCAAGTCAACCACACGTTTGTCACCAAACCTTCCCAGTGTAGACATAGCCTTAGTTGTGATACTCTTAGTGTCTTTCCCAGACCTGAAGAAGATCTCTGTGTAGCTCAAAAGCTTGTCTCTCTCACCCATTGAAGTTAATCCAATGAAAGATATTATCTCACTCACCTTGTCTCTAATATGAATCTATTGCTCACTTCAAGGGTCTTTGCTAGCACACACCTATGGCATGACATGATATTAATCAGTTTCCTTCGTAGGTGGTGCTGAATTATTCAGCAGCAATCATTAACCAAAAACAGTACAAGTCTGATAAAATAACTCTCTGTCCATTTCTTTCCATATATTACATTTTTATTACAGGTTTTCATGTATAGCAAATGCATTACATTAAATTTGGTACAACCTAAACTACCAGATGACAGAACACTTCCCAGATATCATATAAGCAATTCTGACTTTACCACTAGCTTTGATACTTGTGGTCCAAGCTGCTGCAACATCACAGTTTCCAGAGTTGCTCACATCTGGTTGTGAAGTGGCTTTTATTGTGGAATTCAGTGATGATTCGGGCTCATCAGTAAAAGGCACAGACTGACTGGTGGAAAATCCATGACGCAACGTATGAGTCAACTTCAGCTTGCGGAATCTATTGGACATCCTATTCCACCATGACTAGGGGGATGAAGAGACAGGAGAACTTTGTACTAACATATGAGTAAAAGAAAAGTTACATTAATTCAGCTTTGCACAAAGCTAGAATTCCATCAAGGAGTATTCATGATAAACTATAAGGCTGTGTCTACACTGGCATGAATTTCCGGAACTGCTTAAAACGGAATACTATTCCGTTTTCAGTTTTTCCGGAAAAGGAGCATCTACATTGGCAGGCTGCTTTTCCGGAAAAGCCCTTTTTCCGGAAAAGCATCTGTGGCCAATGTAGAGGCGCTTTTCCAGAAAAGAGCCCCGATCACCATTTTCGCGATCGGGGCTTTTTTCCGGAAAAGACTACTGGGCTTCTACACTGGTCCTTTTCCGGAACAGTGTTCCGGAATAAGGACTTATGCCCGAGCGGGAGGAGAATAGTTTTTCCGGAATAGCGGCTGATTTTGTACAGTAGCGTGTCGTTGCTTTTCCGGAAATTCAAGGACCAGTGTAGACAGCTCGCAGCTTATTCTGGAAAAGCGGCTGATTTTCCGGAATAAGTGGCCCAGTGTAGACACAGCCTAAGAGTTCACATTAGAGCGGTTTACAAATGGCACCCAATATCCTAGACCAGGGGTTCTAAATTGTAATACATATACCCTTGTCGGGAATGCAAGACATCTCTGGGGGAGGAGAGGACATAGGATAAATTGTGTAGTGGTGGATTTTATCTATTAATTATTTTGGGTACTACAGTTTCATAATAGGTTACTCAGATATAGCTTTAAAACTCTATGGGAATTTGTTACATAAAATATGGTAGTTAATTCACTGCAAGATGGCCGAATGAGAACACAGACATACAGAGACATGGAGGTATAGAGCCCTCACTTCCACTCTGCCCTAGACTGAATTGCAGCTTTGATGTATGAGTATAGATTGATATAAATATAGATAGATTATATGCATATATTAAAATATAGGTTTATGTTAACATGAACATATCAGTCAGAGTGATTTTAATCAGTTAAAGGTAAAACTAATTTAATATATTACAAAATACAATATATATCAAGGTACACTGAAGTAGAATACATTTACATGAATTAATGAATTTTCAAGCTCCATTTTAAAATCTTTGTTCCTCTCTCACCAATTTTTCTACCACAAGAAATTCATTGTCAAACTGATTTTGAATGCATGAGATTTACCTCTTCTCGATTTTTGCACCTAATATATAGCTTATCATGTTTTTCCTATGATAACCACATTGTATATGAAAGCAAAGCACATGCATTTACTTGGATACTTTTTTGGGGGAGAGGGAGTTAAAACTATAGTACTAAGCACTTAATCTTCCAACCAGCCCACAACTTCATACTCTACCTTCATGTTCTCATGTATCAAAAAACTAGCATATCTTACTGTCATAACATCAATATGTGTGTAAAGTTATTTTACTTTAACAATCCACAGATCATTGTTAAGGTTTTATATTAGAACACAAGGTTGATGAAACTGGCATATGTAAAGCCTATTTTTTTAAAATTCTTTATGCTTCTTCAGCAAAGGAAATTAGTATGGTAGAAATACTGAGCTATGCAAACAACTGTGCTTCCCAAAAGTTGCAGGAACTGGTGATGGAATCTATATTTCCCCAGCCTACAAAACTTAGCCCTCGCCAGTACATTTTACAATAGAAAGCTACAGAAAGCTGCATTTCTGATGGAGAGGGACCTTCGCCCCGAGATTCCTCCTTTTAGCAACCAGCTCAGCTGCCTTCTTTGCAACCATATTGAAATCCTGGGTCCGACTAAAAAAATCCTGGTTATTCTCTTCATCCTCGAGTGTCTACTCTGATACCCACATGGAATGCAATTTTGAGGGCAGAGACTCCATTACATAGATGCTGATGACCTCTGCTCTTGATGAAGAAGCAGCTGCCACCTGCTTTCTTCCTCTTCCTGCCCCTTTAGAGCAGAAGAGGGAGCGTGGGTAGCACAGAGAGAGGGAGGTGTTAGGAGCTGAAGGTCTGTAAGGAGTGCAATGTTCAGACCTGCTCTGCCTGATCCCAGATATTTGGAGCTGATAGCAACACAGTAATTCCTCATTTAACACTATAGATATGTTACAGAAAATGATCGTGTTAAGTGAAAACGTGTTATGAGGGGTCAATTTTCCCATTGAAAATAATGGAAAAGGTGGGGGTTGAGTTTCAAGCGGTGGTGTCTGTTAGGACCAGAACATAAGGTTGGGGGAGAAAGGGGACTGGGTTACAGCAGGGAGGGGAGGTGTTTGGCTCTGGGGAAGGGAAGGAGAGGAGAGGGAAGGGAGACTGGGTTGGGAATATGCCCCTGTGACGGGTCTGCCGGGACCTGCACTGCATCCAGCGACGAGGGGTCGCCAGGGAACGGCACGGCGAGCAACCCTCCGCCATTTTGCAGGGAGGTGGGGAAGCCCCGTGCAGCAGCCGGCAATGGGCCAGAGGGGGAAACCCAGCCGCTGGCCTGCAAGCAGGGCTGGAGGACAGGGGACAAGGCATCCGGCGAAGGGGAGTCAGCAGGGAACAGCAAGGCCCCGTGCATCCGCCGGCAACGGACCAGCTGGGGAAATTGTGTTATTCCGGGGACGGTCGTGTAATTCAAAAAACGTTCCCCCCCCCCCCAAAAAATCGTGCTATTGCGAAAACGTGTTAAGCGGGCACATGTTAAATGAGGAATTACTGTATTCCTTGTGCAGCAACTTCAGCTGTCCAGCAAATGGACAATTTGCCTCTATAACTACCTGTTGTTTTGTAGCGCCAGTTCAGCTCCTTTAACAGGTTTCCCCAGCTGGTGACCCACATGAAGTTACTGGCAGAAGAAAAACAGCACTGCATGGGAAGGGCACAGTATACTGGGGCTATCTGAAATAATGCTCCCATCGTCTTGTCCTTGATGCAGCAGAGGAGACCACAGAAAGAGAACAAAATGTAGATCTGACACCACCTTCACAGATGAACTACACTCCTGCCCCCCTTTTTTCAAGGCAGGCGCTCACTTCCTCAAATGAGTCCTGAGCTTTGTAATCAGTCAGAATGCTCTGCACTGACACTTAGAGCAGTTCCCTCTATTGCAGAGAAAGGAGCTCTGTGCTCTAGTGCTCCCTAATGCTACACCAGCGCCCCTGTCTCAGCCCCCTTTTTTGGAGGGAAAAGATGGGGGCAGAGCTGGAGCTGTGAACTCTGCAGTGAAGGAAATTGATCTTACTGTCAACGTAAGAGCAACCTACATCCCCCTCTTCTGCCCACAAAACTAATTAAACCTCATATCTCATTCACTTTGAATGCTGTAGAAAAATTCTAACTTGGCTGCAGATGTAACCTAACCAATTTTAGGTAAATAAAACTTTTTTCAAAAGGAAAGCTAAAATCAGGATTAAAATGGAAACTCAGTTACAGCTTTAATTAACCACACAATGACTTTTCCTACTCTGGAATAAGGTTCTTTGTAAGGGTACTTATGTCGACTTTCCTCTGAAATTAAATAAATGGTTCTACCCATTCCCCTTACCACCACTACAGCAGCCAAAAAATCTACTACTATCCATGTCTTAGAAAACCAAAGTGGACTAATGTATGCTTGGCTTGCAGAATGCAATTATGTTAGTTATGGCATAAGGTTGCAAACACTTCCATGTGCTGCCTTTCCCCACTCCAACATTAGGGTAAATTGTATATTTGTTATTTATTCACAAATCATCAGAGAGAGAGTACATATGAAATTTGTTTACCTTTAATCCTCCCTTGTCATCTGGCAACATCAAGGTATTTAAAGACTGCCTACTTCTAGAACTGGGCAAAGGTGATTTGTTGTTCTGCTTACCCTTGTCTTTGTCTACTTGCATGCAGGCTGATGCTAGTTGCCGTACAAGTTCTGTGTCTGGGAAAAAAAATAGTTTTTTGTTTTGTTTTGTTTTACTTGTAAATGTCACTTCATCTCAACTATATAAGCAAGAATGATGTGCTGAAGCTTCCCCTATGCTTCCTACAAGGGTGTCAGGCAACAGCACCAAAGACATACATCTGCAATTCTGGTGCCAATGGCTCCCATTTGTGCCCTCCCTCTCTATTCTTGTCCTGGTGAAACTTCTCCTAGACTGAGCCCAAATGCCGAATGTTAGTTCTGCGCTCTGTGAGCTGCTGACTTACGCAATGGTGCTTGTACCACCCGTTCTATAGAAGCGCTTTGGAGTGCATGACTCTCTAGAAGTAGACTGAAGAGTATTAACAGTAAGAAGGGAGCTCCATTCAGGCAGATTCTACAGCACTTTCACAAATGAACCTGATAGCAACTTGCTAAAAGAAACATGGAGAACTTCCCTTTTCTCACCTGGGACAGAAGAAGAGAGCAGAGAGAAAGGATATCCTTTTCTCTTTCTTTGAGCATAGGCTGGAGAGAGGAAGTTCGAAGACAAATTCCAGAGGGAAGAGCAATAGTCAGATTAAACAACAAGGAGCCTGCATAGATTGGAAAGAAATAAAGGAGGAAAAAAACAGAAAAAAAGGGGGAAGAAAGAATTAACATAAGGATGAGAAAGGAATGGCCAAATGAGGGAAACGAGAGAATCCTGAACAGAAAAAATGCAAACTCAAAAAAAAATGTATCTGGAGAGATGAATAAATGACAATAATGGACCTAAAGAAAATGTAAATGATCCATTTTAAAAGTCATTTTTACTGTGTAAAAATTAAATTAAGGGAAACTATGGAGAGTACACCAAGGCACAAACAGAAAAAAAAAACTAAAGCTGAGTGAATGAAAGGGGAAAAACAGAGGAAAACAAACCAAAGACGACATACATTAGTAAAGTAATATATTGTACTGGCAATAAGTGTTCTGAAAGCGTGGGTCCTTGATAGCACTGAAGACAATAGGGCTGTGTCTAAACTGCAGGGTTTTTTCGAAAAAAGTAGCCTTTTTTCAGAAAAACTTCACCTGCATCTAGACTACAGCCGCGTTGTTTCAAAATTAAATCAAAAGAACGCAGCTTTTCTTTCAACGGCGGTACTCCTCATTTCACAAGGAAGAACGCCTTTTTTTGAAAGTGCTCTTTCGAAAAAAGGCGCTCTTGAATGCAAACTCTGCTTTTTCGAAAGAGAGCATCCAGACTGCCTTGCGGCTTGCTTTTTCGAAAGTACTGGTTGCAGTCTAGACGCTATTTTTCGAAAGAGGCTTTTTCGAAAGAATCTTTCGAAAAAGCCTCTTTCGAAAGAGGCTTGCTGCCTAGACGTAGTCTAGGGGTTTTAGTATTAACTTCACTGGGATCAGAATTTTAACCAAGTTTTTAATTAAATTCAGAAAGGTTAGATTTGCAAAAACGTCTAAGGGTTTGTCTGTGTTATGGTATAGCCAGCTGCTTCAAACTGCAGTATGGCAAAGCACCCTGTGGACCTTTTTTGCACTATAGCAATGTCCATATTGAATGTTACTGCACAGTAAACTAGTGCACTGCAGAGTCACACACTGGGTTTCCGAGCAGTAACATCTCAGAAAGAAAAGACCCACAGGCATTAGCAACAGCTAAGGGAGCTAGAATTTCAATGGGACTGGTTTTGCTAACTCTCTTTAGGTATCTTTGAACATCTCATCCCAGATTATTGTACATGCTGTAGCAGAAGAGGACAGGATGGTCTAAGGGGAGACCACTTCCCAGATGATGGCATTTTGGTTACTAAGAAACTCGTTGCAAGTGGAAGCTTTCACTTTTACAATTATGCTTTATTTTTCCTCTATATTTTTAGCTATGTAATAGGACTGTCTTTGGGCCACTGCAATACAATGACACCGGAGACACAAAAATAACCTTTGGACACCACACTTGAAAAATCAGGCCGTAGGAATAAACAGATCCTAAAAGAACAAGCTATAACCCATATATTTCTATACACTTCTATCTAACCAATTAATCCAATAAATATACTGTTTCCAGAAAATAATCTCCCTGTCACATGGAACTCATGGGAAATTATATTCTACAACTCAAATGTTGAGATGAGAAGGGATGTTTTTCTTGTTGCATTGCACTGTTGTTGAAGCATTTCCTTTGGGCTTTATAACACAGCATACCTGGATCATTCAGTAGCATTATCAGGTCAAAGGCTGTGTACCCATTTTTGGCACGTAGATTGACATCAGCTCCTCGACTCAACAGATACTTAACAACTTCTTTATTTCTGTAAGGAAAAAGAAACCTGGTCAAATATGTGACAATGTACTAATGTTCAGTCTCTTCACTCTTATGCCATGCTCTTTTTCCTGAACTAGAATGTATCCAAAGGCACCCAGAATTCTTTCCGAAAATCTGTTTTCTCTCTATGGAAGAATATAAACTAAGTGCAGAAGGCCATATTGAGACATATTTTAGGGTCTTAAGAGATTTATAGTTCTTATGCTGGTCATCTGCTCAAAGCAGAACACCCTTTCATAATCAAAGGTTATTCCTGCATACACATGCTAAAGGGGGAAAAAAGCAGATATATGGACTTTACCAAAACAGAGATAAATTTCACTAAATAAATCAACCACACATCCTCATGCACTATTACTATTGTGTTTCTGTTGCACTTTTTTTTATTTAGCTGGTAATTTAAGGGAGTGCATTTAATAAACTGAGATGATTGGAGAGATAATGTTTGTTCAAAATATTATTTATTTAGACATTTTTAAATGTACAAAAAAAGACACCTAACAGTCACTCCAGGTGCCTTAAAATTTAAAAACAGCATCAAAACTAAAATAGCAACAAACACAAAGATTTCCCCAACAAAACTCAGCTCCCCACAAAAACAACCACCCATTCACAATCAGCTAATATCAGCCCGAGTGAACAAAAACAGCATGCCTTAAAGATCAAGGATTTTGAGTTTTTTAGACTCAAGGGATGAGTGAACAGGTACCAAAGATGTAGGAGAATTGCACAGAATGCTCTGTCAGCAGGATGGCATCACCCTTTAAATTGAAATTTAAATGTCTAAAAATAAATGTCTAAAAATAGTGGGAGATGGATGCCAAATTAAGTTTTGGGGTTGGAGCTAGCAATCGTATGCTACCTTCTCTAACTGACAACACTATTTCTGACATTCCAACACACACAGAAACTTCTGATCTACCAATAAAATCAACCAGCTAAACAAATTGGGTCTCTGTGTGTGTGTGTGTGTGTGTGTGTGTGTGTGTACACACACACACACACACACACACACACAGAGAGAGAGAGAGAGAGAGAAACAAATTCTGTTCACCACAATAACTCATGTGCTATAACTCCCATCACTGCTCCCCTTACTCCATGAAAATGAGCCTCCTCCTTCTGCCCCACCCCAGGACTCAGGCTTCTCCAGTTTTGCCTTTCTCCCCTTGCTGGACCATAGCCTCCATTTTTCCTAACTTCCTAGGTCACAAGCCTCTACCTACTGCCTTGCTGAAGTCACAGTCCAGCCAGTTTCTTCTCCGTGCCTCACCTTTTCCACCCAGGACCATCTGATATTGCTCCTGAGAAGGGTGGGGAGTAGGGATGTAAAATCACATTTAATTGGTTAACCAGATAGACATAGTGTTTAACCGGTTAACCAATTAAAGAGGGGATGGGCAGTGGGGCTGACGGCTCTGGTTCCTGCCCCCTGCGCAGAGCTGCTGCTTCCGACACCACTTAGGGTGTGTCCAGACTCAGGGGTTTTTTCGAAAAAAGTAGCCTTTTTTCGAAAAAAACTTCACCTGCGTCTAGACTGCAGCTGTGTTCTTTCGAAATTAAATCGAAAGAACGCGGCTTTTCTTTCGACGGCGGTAAACCTCATTGCACGAGGAAGAACGCCTTTTTTCAAAAGTGCTCTTTCGAAAAAAGGCGTTCTTGAAAGCAAACAGGGCTTTTTAGAAAGAGAGCATCCAGACTCGCTGCTTTCTTTCGAAAAAGCGGCTTGCTTTTTCGAAAGTTCCGCGTGCAGTCTAGACACTCTCTTTCGAAAGAGGCTTTTTCAAAAGTATCTTTCGAAAAAGCCTCTTTTGAAAGAGGCTTGCAGTCTAGACATAGCCCAAGGGACTGCTTCCGGGTACCAGTTAACCATTGCCTGGTAAGCATCATCCATTAAGGATGATGCTTACTGGGTAACCAGTTACCTGTTCACATTCCTAGTGGGGAGCACCTCTATATGGAAGATATTCTGATTCTGTAAGGCTAAAGATTTGCAGCCCCAAAAGGGACTTTGGAAAGGCAACCTTTCAGCCTGTGCCACTTTCAGCAACATCCTACTCACAGTGGAGTGAGTTTCACAAGGCATAGGGGAGCGGTCGACAAAGGCTTCCCCTGTCGACCGATCCACATCTTAACTGCCGCGCTGTGTCAACAATCAGCTTAGCCGGCACAGCGCAGCGGCCATGTTTATTTTAATGAAGCCGGGGATATTTAAATCCCAGCTTCTTTGATTATGTCGGGTAGCCTAGTTTACATGTCTCTGTCGGCAGAGGCATGTAGTCTAGACATACCCTAATTAATTACTTTTGTGCCCATACCTAGGGAGTAGAATGAATTCTCTCCTATCAAAAATCTCTTACCCATGATATGTGGCCTGCATTAGGGCTGTCCAGCCATGAACATTATCTTGTTTGTCGATGTCAGCATTTCTTTCAACAAGCAGCTGTACAACAGCTAACTGTCCAGTTACTGCTGCAATCATCAGTGGAGAAGCACCATCACTATTAATAATATTAACTTGATTTGGGTGTTCATCTGCAATCTCTTTAACCAACTGAAAATTTCCTATGAAGAAAATCACAAAAAATACAATATTGTATATTAGGAATAAACAATTTCTCAGCATCTAATTTAATATATATTTTAATGTGCTAACATTGACACCAAAAAATGTCTTTATTTAAAAGGAAAAATAAATAATTAAAATATGTATTGCCTTTAAAATGTGATATTGTACGATGAAAACTAAATGAAATGGCAATATCAACAGAAATATATATACTGCTTATACACTATAGTTCCATCTACACAATTGCAAAATTTCAAGTTTAAATGTTACAGCTAAGAACTTGTAGTACTATTTGTTCCTTCAACTGATCAATACATCTTTCCTGTTTTGCATAAACTGGCAGATTGGATCTACACAAAGCAATTCATTCAGTCTTCTCCTGGAATACATTACAGCATTATCCCATAATTATGCCCCACAGCACTATTTCATAATTCCAACGATAAATCCCTACAGCAGTCGTATAAAATGTGTACATTAACCATTATGGAGACATTTGTACTGACTCTGTAGTTAGTGTTGCACTTTGACTTGCACTTAAAACAATCCAAAATCCTGTTTCACTTTCATGATTGTTAACCACTGGGGCCTTATTACTTCTGCTGTTCTGAACAAATTTAAGAAGATTCTGAGGGGAAAATGGGAAGATGGATGGATTGCATGAATGTAGGGAAGCGACATCTGTGAAGAACTCCAGTTATTGGCAAATATCATTTCCCCTTTTTTCAGGATAGTTTCAAACCATTTCCAGCACTGCTAGTTTAACAAGCAATACAAACTCCAGAGATGGTGGGCCGAAGAGTTTTTAATTGAAAATAAATTATAAAAGCACTCTCCCAAACCTAGCATCAGATCTGGAGGGAAGTCTAGGTATAAGCATTTTGTGCACATAACTCTGTGGTTCTCAGTTTGAATGTGATGAAGACATGAACAGAAGGTCCCAAATTCTCTCTAACTTGAGAACACTAGCTAAAATGCAAACAAGTCCCTGTGCACAATCTAATCCATCTGGACAGATATTGAAAAGCCATGATATTTCACTTACAATGTTCCTCATATGCAGTAAAAAAACCCTCCCAAAACCTAAGTGATTTTCTAAACATCCTAAATTTATCTGTGTAATAACTTAAAGGGTACGTCTAGACTACATGCCTCTGGCGGAACACTAGCTAAAATGCAAACAAGTCCCTGTGCACAATCTAATCCATCTGGACAGATATTGAAAAGCCATGATATTTCACTTACAATGTTCCTCATATGCAGTAAAAAAACCCTCCCAAAACCTAAGTGATTTTCTAAACATCCTAAATTTATCTGTGTAATAACTTAAAGGGTACGTCTAGACTACATGCCTCTGGCGACAGAGGCATGTAGATTAGGCTATCCGACACAGTAAAATGAAGCGGCGATTTAAATAATCGCCGCTTCATTTAAATTTACATGGCTGCCGCGCTGAGCCGACAAACAGCTGATCAGCTGATGAGGCATACCTGGGTGGTCGACAAATACCTTTGATGTCGGCAGGGGAGTGTCCAGACTATTGCGCTGAGCTGACAAAGAGCTGATCAGCTGTTTGTCGGCTCAGCGCAGCAGCCATGTAAATTTAAATGAAGCGGCGATTATTTAAATCGCCTCTTCATTTTACTGTGTCGGGTAGCCTAATCTACATGCCTCTGTCACCAGAGACACGTAGTCTAGATGTACCCAAAGCTCTCTTAAAATCTACAGCGTAAAGCCTAACTTCTTTATCATGTGCATGAGGCTTATAGGAAACACACCAGTACAAAGTTAATTATCTTGTGAAGGTCCTGGAGTGGGTATGTATAATAATGAGGGTTTTGTGAAAAACGGGGAATGGAGGTTGAGGTACAAGACTTTAGAGTTTACTAACTCTCCTTGCTCACATCACTATCATCAGGAAGCCTCCTTTTATAGATAGGTTAGTGAGCAGCAGATCCCAGATGGTAACTGGATCCTTGGTAGAAAAACATTAACTAGACCCTTCAAGAACCTTTTCATTGTTAAGTGCCAAAATACTCTCCTGTTGCTGCTCCTCTTTGCTTGAAGGCACTGTACCTTACATATATGTTGTCCAGAATGACCTAAACCAAACCACCTCAGATCTGCAAAAGAAAGGTAAACGATCCCCGACAGCAGGGATAAGAGATTTTGTGCTGCTGCATCTCTGGCATTATCCATTTGAATATTGGTGTTTTAAGATGACTGATCTTCAGATCTTCGTTACTATGTCAGATAGCCTGCGAATCCCCAAACCTTTAGAGACCAGTGACTTTTTAGAAGAGCAGCTTGTGATGCGATCTAATCTGGATATGTCCCTCGTCTTATAGGTCAAATAGATTAACTACAAAGACTTTAAGTGTATTTTTTCTGCACTTGAATTGAGAAATGAGAAGTATAGCTATATCACTTACTAATTAGTATTTTGTGAACCAGGTTGGTGGGCCCAAGTGAAATAGCATGGAGCAAATGGTGTCAGCTAGCCATGTTATTATGATGTAAACTAGGTGAATCATTGTGCATGAATGATTGACTGCTGACTTCTGCTGATCAATATGATGCTGAAATATTGTAATTTATCTGTTTTGACTTTGTTTGGGTAGATGATTTGCTGTGTACACTGAATTTTAAATTCTTGTCTGCTTATCTTTCTAGTCACTGGTGGGTTCTTCCTCTGTACACTAATTCTTGATAAGATTTGTATCCGAGAAGGGGGTATATAGATGGTCAGTCCAAAAATGCCTAAGTCTCTTCATGTATTGATGGAGTCTCCAGACTCAAAGCTTTGCCCATGTTGATAGTCATGCCCTGAAATTGCTGAAGTCTCCCGGAGACATGGAAGATACTCCAGTTTTGTCATCTAGAGAAGTTGATTGTCAATACCAGTTGTGACATCAGCACCCACCCCCTCATCCTCTGACAGCCTGGTCATCAGTCTCAGTCAGGCCAAAAGGTAGATTAATCTAGTGACACATCATCTAGTCTACTGACAAGAACTGAGGGACTATATACAAACTTTGAAAAAACTGACAGGATCAGCATGGCACAGCTCTTGTTACAGTACTGTGCTCCTGTAACATTGCAAGAAAAATTCTTAATGACTGTCACCTCATCCACCCTGGTATTTGCTTGTGACTGAATCCTGAAAATGTCAGAGTGGATTTCTCATTTTGGTGTCCTCCCAGTGTGTCAAAGAAATCATAGGCAGTAAATGTCTCTGATAACTTGTCAGAACCTCTCATTTTGAGTCCTTTGATTCTCTAAGCACTGGAGTAGCTTTTCTTTATCTAAATAGTAAGGAAGGGACAAAGTAGCCTATGCAATAAGAAGAGGTCCTGAAACATATGCCCATGTATCAGAGGCTTAGTATGAGGTCTGCAGCCTGAGCTAAGGTAGACAACACTTTTCTAATATAAGGCAAAGTTAAGTTGTGAGCAAGAGGCTGGCCCAATTCACAGAATCTGGCAAAAACTGGGCTGATACTGCAGAAACACACATTCCTAAGTAGCACTAGGCTAAAAAAACATACACACAAACACATTCCAGAAGGGTGGTACCAGAACACCTCAGTGCCAGCACATTCCCCAAAGATAAAGGGGCATGCTGACTCATCTGAAATGGATGACAACGTGATGGATAGTAATGTTTTGACTGAACATAAGGCAATGAGTTGCAGTGGCACCCTGCTACGCCAATGTAACTTGTTTGCATTGGTGTATAAAGATGTATCTCAGAGGCAGCCTCTTTGTCTGGCTGAGAGAAGAATGGAAAGTCCCACTATTCACTGAGCCAGTCCATTGTCATGAGTTTACATGTGTCTGTATGATAGTAACCATTGAGCCAGGGCAAGAGCATGGTGCTTCATCGGCAATAAGCCTGACCAAGTTCTTTAACTGAATACCGAGTCTGTGGATTTATTGAGCAGTTCAACCAAAATCTGCTGTCTCAGTTATCTCCACAGAGCTGGGATAGCACACTGAAAGAACACACACACACACACACACACACACACACACACACACACACTACAATACACATGGTCTCAATTTCCTATATTAGCAAGGAAGTCTGCACTGCAGTCTCAAGAAACAGATGTGGTGGAGAATTGTTTTAATGCTTACCCATTTTCAAAGCATGAAAGACATCAGGTTGCCTCTTGTCGTTATCTGAGAAAATACAAATATCTGTATTAAAACTGGAGATGTGTAGGCAAAAATTTGCATTACAATTAGTTTAGCAAAAAAAAACCACCCCTAAAAATATATTCTACATATAATTATCTTATTCCGGAATGTACATTTGGGCTTCTATTTGATCAGTAAAGAAGAAGGCACACAAAAAATTAATACGAGCCCTATGGGAGCACAGTCTCATCTGCAGTATTCTCAGTGTAGGATCAAAACCACAGACTTTAAAAAGAATTATTAGAGGTATTTGCCACCCAACATCTATTCTGTTTAAGGAAAATAACTCTTTAAATATATACAGTAATATGTCTGGAAGAGTAAAATTTCTGCTAAAGGATGACATTCACTTCATGGGGCCTACAATATGATTCAAAGCATTAGTGTGAATTTCAGGAATAAAATGTGAACTTCTGCACTGGGGGCAAAAACTCCCCAAAGTACATGTCTACTCTGAAGCATAACTCAAGAATAGCTTTGTGAGGTTCCATTTTCATTTCTACTCATAGATTTCCACACCAAATTTGCTCAGTTCACATAAACATTATTTTTCTAACCCCCGACCCCTCCATTCCCAAGGCCTTCATATTCATACTTATCAATGATAAAAGAACATAAGAAGGGCCACGCTGGGTCAAACCAATGATCCATTTGGCTTAGTGTCCTGACTTGCGATAGTGGTCAAATGCTTCAGGTGAGATGCTTCACAAAGAATGAACAAGGCAATTATCAGGTGATCCATCCCCAGCTGTACAGTCCAAGCATTGGACAGTCAGAGGATAATAATTCTGCAAATGAAATTATTCTAATTTTAGATTTTTTAGGGCACTGACATTATCTTCATAAATCTCTGTGAAGTTTCAAGGAACTGTTGGTATCATATTAAGGGGAAAAGTAATATATTCTGCTATAAGTATACAAGTCAGAAAATAAATCCAGCTTCATCTTCCAAAGCATTATGGGCATTTCAGTACTAACAGGAGTAAAAAGTAATGACGTATTTTAAACTAAATATAGAAATGGTGGACAGAACTACCAAGTCAGAAGTTGTCATTTTTACTCAGTTTTCTGTCCATAACTGGACTTTGCAGGAAGTAATTCCAAAATACTAAGTAGAATCAAATGCTAAGAGGAGAATCCAAAGGAAGAAGGAGAATTCCTGATCCTAGTCTCATGCATTAGAGGAAATTCTGTAGGATACTTCCTAACTCGTAGGCAAAGAGACAGAAAGGACAAACCCAGAGTCAGAAAATAACTGGAATAGGGGACACCTTGCACCTGTAGAGTGAAAGTCTCTATAGGAAGTCATCTGCAAAGAACAGCAGATGGCTGGGAGGAAGCCTTAGCTGGGGACTCACTGGACAATGTGCTACAGGGACTGTGAAGCCCTGAAGACAAAGGTTAAGGCAACGTCCCTGAGAGACAGTCAGACCATTTTGGGTTGTTTTGTTTTTGTCTTAATTTTGTGGATTAAAAAAAACCCAGAGAAGAAAACTTGATGTCTGCTGTTATGTAGGGGGTGAGTTCTCCTTCCCTCACCTGGTACATCAACCAGCCAGATTACAGCATATTAGCAGATACCCATCTAAGGGCTGAAGAATTAATGTGAGTCTCCCTATCTGCTGCCTTGACTCTTGAGAGAAATGCCCTTTATGCCTGAGTATAGAACTAGACCCCAGTTTATGGCAAAAATTAAGTCCTTGTCTTATATTAATCACCTCCTTGGCCAATATAAAAATTTTGATAGCATAATTTCTTGCACTCAGTAATTCCTGAATCAGGCAGAATTTGTGGATAAGCTACAGTAGATATTTTAGAAAAATATTCAATCTTGCTTTAAAGACTTCAATTGATGAAGAATTTAACACATTCTTTATTAGTCTTTTCCACAATGAATTATTTGCTTTGTTAAAAACTGTCTTATTTCCTTTTAGATATTCCAGTCCAATATTACCATGCCTTTGCCTACTAAACTGAAGAGACCTCTAGTGTAAGATTTCTTGTCCCTATCAGGATGTATTTAAATTTTGATCAAGTCATCTCTTAACCTTCTCTTTGTTAAACTAATAAAACTGAGCTCCTTTAGTATGTCACTGGAAGGCACGATTTCTAGACTTGAATCATTCTCATAATTCTTCTCTGGATTGCCTCAAATTTGTCAACGTCTTTGCCCCTTTGAAAAAATCATTCTATTTTCCCCCTAAAAGAGTGCACACAGCATCCCATCTTGAACAATGAAATGTTTCATTTTAATTTTTCAAGTCAAATTCTGTCTTGTTGCCCTAAAACTATGGACATAGCAACATACCTCCATGTTATTTAGAAGAAACCTGCTTGCAGACACATGGCATGTTTGCCAAAAGTGAGTAAATCCACTCCAAAAACATCTAGATGACGAGCCCTCTGGGACAACTGGCATTGGACATGCTATTGTGCTAGAGTGGGATGGGCAATAAGCAGCTAGTGGGCCAGACAAAGTTATTTACCTGCACGTCCGAAGGTACAGCCGTTTGCGGCTTTCGCTGCCCACAGATCACCTTTTCCAAACAAGCAGAGCTACAAGAAGCAATGTAAAAGTCCACACCGCTTCCCACAGCACCTATTGGCTAGGAATAGTGATCCATGGCCAAAAGGAGCTGCAAATGTCCATATCTGCAGATGTGTGAGTAAATAAAGCATTGGTGGCTGGTCAGGGGCTAACCTTAGCGAACCGCCTCCACTCCTGGGCTAGAGAGACTTTTGGACTGACCCAGTATGTCCATTCTTATGTTCTTAGCTCTGTGCCTCACAGTATAAAATGTACATTAATAACTACTTTTTTGGTTCTTATGTCTCAAAAATGTCTAAACTAAACCCTGCAGAAAAGAAGCCAAAAGAATAGTAGCCCATACCTGTCTGGGGTCTGACAGTTGTTACTGATTGCAGATAATCTTTCATGTCTTTATGTTTGAAGCCAATGGAGATTTCAAAAGATGTTTTATGCAGCACATTTAGATGATTAGGATTGGCTCCCTTGTCCACGAGCTGTTGTGCCACACTCAGCTTTCCACTAACTGCTGCCAGCATTAGAGGACTCCAGCCCACTGTCTTCAAAGAGTAATTACAATCAGCTCCCCAGTCCAGTAGTAAATGCACCACTGCTTCATGTCCATGTTGGGCAGCTGCTATTAGTGGTATTATATCTGGCAGTTCCTCTTTGCTGTTCTCAACGAAACTGGTATTAAAATGGTCATAATTATCAACAAAAGCTCCAGATTCCAGCAACAATTTCACCACACTGACATGGCCACCTCTAGAAGCCATTGTAAGTACACTGGCGCCCAGTTTATTCTGTGCATTGAGATCAGCACCATTCTCCAACAAGATGTGGGCCACAGTTAGATGTCCAAACCTTAAAAGAAAGCAAAAGAATTGAAAAGAGATACCAGTTTTTCTGTAATAAATATCTTTTACAGACAGCATGTGAGAAAATTTTTCTACAACAGTTATTTGGTATGCTCAACTCCCCTACTGTACCTACGGCAATTGAAAATGTACCATGTGTACTTAAGACTATCACTGCAGCCCAACCCCCATCCTTTGAAATTAGGTTTTAAAAGAATCAACAGAACTATAAGGATCTGGACAAAACACAAATATCCTACATCAAGAAGGTATTTAAGTATACATATAATTTAAAAAGTGAATAATCCCATGTGCAGGGTTGGGGCCACAGAAGGTGTGATAAATGCTATAGTAAACTCTATGACTGATAAAGTGTATGAAATCTGATTCTATTTATTGAATGTTATAAACTGTTTTCTATTTTGTCCTGTGAAACGTTTAGAGAAATTAGGGAAAGCCCACTGAAACAGGACTTTTTTCATGATTTCAGTAGACCAAACATCTGACCTCCTCAGTCAAGATTTCCTAACCAAAGGAACAGTAACAAATAAAATAAACTTTTAGGCATCTTTTATTCCCATAGGAGATGATGCTCAATAGTTGCTTTTATTTGTATGCTGCTTTTAAAAATACATACAGGCTACGTCTACACTGGAATGATTTTCCGGAAATACTTTTAATGGAAAAGTTTTCCGTTAAAAGCATTTTTGGAAAAGCGCGTCTAGATTCGGGCAAAAGTCTTTTTCCGAAAGACTTTTGCGCAAAAGGGCCAGTGTAGACAGCAGAGATTTCTTTTCTGCAAAAAAGCCCCGATCGCGAAAATGGCGATCGGGGCTTTTTTGCAGAAAAGAAATCTCTGCTGTCTACACTGGCCCTTTTGCGCAAAAGTCTTTCGGAAAAAGACTTTTGCCCGAACGGGAGCAGCATAGTATATCCGCAAAAGCGCTGACAACCTTACATGAGATCGTCAGTACTTTTGCGGAAATTCAAGCTCCCAGTGTAGACAGCTGGCAAATTTTTCCGCAAAAGCAGATGATTTTGTGGAAAAACTTGCCAGTCTAGACACAGCCACATAGTGCAGTTATTCAGTGGTATTAGTTGTAATTTGATGACATTTATAAATTGCTATGGTGACCTGCCCACTATTTATCATAATTCTAAACTAAAGGACAATGGGAAAAGGAAATGTACTAACATTAAATTCTAACATTTATTCAATTTCACATTTGACATGCCTTTCCTCACCAGCAAAACAATCATTTCTTGCAAGTAATGTGATTGTTTAAACTGGTATTTTAAAATAGCTTAAAGCAAGAGTTTGAATGATCAAAACCAGAACGCCTTCTCTGTCCAGAGTGCACAACGATTCTCCCAAAGGACCGGACCTGTAATACTTTGACTACTCGGGGAGGGAACTGGCTGCTTGTTTCTTATGAGCAAGAGCCACGAGGATGTGGAGGGAGGAACAGGCACACTCGTCTAGCAGCCGTGTACAAATGATGCTGCTCAGGAAGAAACAACTCCGCTCTGTGCCAGCCACAGCCGACGTTTCCTCTGCTCTCCAGCAGGGCACAGGGCTTTGCTTTGTTTTCTAACTCGCTCCCTTGAAATGAAGAAACAGGCTGGGTGGTTACCCTCACAGCCAAGCCACGCCCGAGCAGCCCGGGGTGCTGCTGGAAGAGGCGTTGCTCAGCCCACTGCCGAACCCCTGCGCCCTACCAGCTCTCACGCCCCAGCCTGCTGAGAGGGGGCAGGCCCCACCGG